ATAAGCTATTTATTTAAAAATATTTTTTTAATAATCTAATATGATTATAAGATAATATTTCATAAGTTTTTAATCAATTAATGACGTGCACACATACTCTAGACGTAGCTACTCAAACCCAATACTTATAAGAAAAATCACATTCTCATTTATCACTGAGATCACTTGATAGTTTCGTTTATTTAAAAAAATATTAAATTCATTTTTATTTTGAATATAGTATTAATTAAAATTTGATATATTTAATTTAAAATAAAGTATTAAATTTATTTAAGTGGTTCAGATGCTATCAACTTTCTTAATTCACCGAAATTTAAGTTATCGTTTTGTCACATTTACTTTATTTTTTAAAAATTATACTATTTATTATATTATAAAATATATACAACTTTTAAAATAAAATTAAAAATGATATTTAACCATGTGGTAAGTGTGGTTGACCTTTCTTCCACATACTTATGTTCGAGCCTTTGAGTCCTCATAAACCCCAAAACATATTTCGAATGATGACACATATTATCATCAAATTAGAAGATTAAGATTTTTAAATAAAATCAAAGTCAAGATTAAATCAATAAAATATGTAAATAATAAGGACCAAACGTATAATTATGTAAATTTTTTGTCTACCACATAAGCGCTTTCATTAGATATTCTTACTTAAATAGTTAAGAAGTTTAATTGGAAAAATTAACAGATTAATGGTCAAAATAAAAAATTATAATAATTAAGTGGTCATAGTTATAATTTATCCTAAAGTTTTTATAGAGTGAATTGAAGGAACAAGAACTAAACTGTATAAATGGAAAACAAACAAGGACTAATCCGAAGTTTTGGAAAATAATTGCAGGCGGTATAAAACCATGAGAGCCTTAAACCCTAGTTCCAACTTCCATGTCAGTCTCGCATTTCCCCAACCCTAGACAACCAGACACGCCTATATCATCTAGCTTCGATTGTTTTTGAAGCTAACTAAGCTCTCTGGGTTGCGTTTTTGGAGCCTTTCTTGAATGGCTCTCTACTTGTTGTTCGAGTCATCTTCTGGGTACGCGCTGTTCCATGCTCACGGGCTCGATGAAATCGGTCAGAATACAGAGGCCGTCAGGAACTCCGTTTCGGATCTGAACCGGTTTGGTAAAGTGGTCCAACTCACTGCGTTTCAGCCTTTTGAGTCCGCTCTCGATGGTCTCAATCAATGCAATTCTGTTTCTGAAGGTATCGTAACGTTTTACCTTTCTTCAAGATTCTGGGCGTGTTTTTCATTTTGTCATCAGTTATATTCTCTTGATTATTTTTTATGGATATATATTTCTACTGCAAAGGCATCTGTTAGTACAACATTGCAAAGCTTTAGCGGTTCTTTTATATAAGTTATTGTGATGCTAGAAATAAAGGATTTTTCCATTTTTATTTGCTCCATTTCTGTGATATCTGATGAAGTTAGGTTCCTGTTAAAATTTTAAATGTTTAATAATCATTCTGAACTAATCGTTAAAAGAAGGTGCATTAATCGAATTAGTGTCTCTGCATAACACATTTGAAATGAGTCTGCTTGCTTTTCAGGTTCGGTTAATTATCGGGTTATGTTTGGTTTCATTTGGCAGGGCTTATGACAGATGAGTTGAGGAGTTTTTTGGAGCTGAATCTCCCAAAAGTGAAGGAAGGCAAGAAGCCAAAGTTCAGCTTGGGAGTTGCAGAGCCTAAGCTTGGTTCCCACATCTCTGAGACAACTAAACTTCCATGTCAGAGTGGAGAGTTTGTTCTTGAGCTTCTTCGTGGTGTGCGGTTGAATTTCGATAAGTTTATCAAGGACCTAAAGGTTTGCATATTTCTTTGTGTTTTTTACAATATGGCTACAACTGTTTATTTTCCTCATTTTTTTGTGTTGCTCTTCATGTCTATTCTTAAACATGGTAGTCTGGGGACTTAGAGAAAGCTCAGCTCGGTTTGGCGCACAGTTACAGTAGAGCGAAGGTTAAGTTCAATGTCAATCGAGTTGACAATATGGTTATTCAAGCAATTTTCCTTCTTGATACTCTTGACAAGGATATTAATTCTTTTTCAATGAGAGTGAGGTTCGTATTCACTTTACCCTGAAGCTAACATCCTTTTTAGTTTAGTGTGTGTTCGTAACTAGTTGGTACACTTGTTTCACGACATGATTTTATATAGCATCCCCTTGTTGATTTCTTCCTGCAGGGAATGGTACTCTTGGCATTTCCCCGAGTTGGTAAAGATTGTCAATGATAATTATCTATATGCTAGAGTTGCTAAGCTTATAGAGGACAAGTCAAAGTTGTCTGAAGAACATGTCCCTGCATTAACTGAGATCCTTGGGGACGAGGACAAAGCAAAAGAAATTGTAGAAGCTGGCAAAGCATCAATGGGTACATCTCTTGCATTTATGCTGCAGTTCAACCTTTTTTCTCTGCATACTCCTATTTACCTTTTCCTTTTCTCCTACTCTTTTTGCAGGACAGGATTTGACACCAGTTGATTTGATTAATGTTCAGCTTTTTGCTCAAAGGGTAATGGATCTTGCCGAGTACAGAAAGAATCTTTATGATTATCTAGTGACTAAGATGAATGACATTGCACCAAATTTGGCATCATTGATCGGGGAAGTTGTTGGGGCTCGTTTGATCTCTCATGCCGGTAGTCTCACAAATTTGGCCAAGTGCCCCTCTTCCACTCTTCAGATTCTTGGTGCAGAGAAGGCCCTCTTCAGGTATTTGACTTCTCACTCCCTATTCTTATGAAGTGATGCAGTACCGAGACGTACGGGACGCTAAAATTTAGGCCTTCGTTGAACAAAAGCTTGATTCGTGTCTTTTAAAATCTTATATGCTAATCTGAGTGCAAGCTCTTATCTAGATTTCCCCCCAATCCTAAGTTTCAAGACATTGCTTCACTCATTGCTTACTGGCTTCAGGGCACTAAAAACACGTGGAAACACACCCAAGTATGGTCTAATTTTCCATTCATCTTTCATTGGTCGAGCATCTGCAAAAAACAAGGGCAGAATGGCACGCTATCTTGCAAATAAGTGTTCAATTGCATCTCGTATTGATTGTTTTGCAGGTAATCTTTTATCTTCTTTTCTCTTACACTGTAAGTTCTCCCCATAATACATGTCAATTGTCTTCCTGTTTTCAGAGAGGGGCAGCACTGTTTTTGGGGAGAAACTGCGGGAACAAGTGGAGGAACGACTTGAATTCTATGACAAGGGCGTTGCACCTCGAAAAAACATTGATGTGATGAAATCTGCGATTGAAAGTACTCAGAGCAAAGGTACACCGGTGTATGACTCTGTTTACTAATTCAATTATAGATTACACATTTTAAAAAGATATTTAGTCAAGAGACAAGTGCAATACTTAACATTCAAGTCTTTGATTTGATATGCTGAATTCATTGGTTTCTACTGGAGGTTTAGCATGCTGCACATCTGCTTTCTCTGTGTATGATATTCTTATCAATTATTTTACTGCATGTCTTGTACAGATACGGAAATGGAGGAAGTACAGCCCGATGAAACTTCTGCAAAGAAAAGCAAGAAAAAGAAATCAAAAACCAATGATGCCCCAGCTGCTGCTACAAATGGAGATGCCCTGGAGGAATCTAAATCAGAGAAGAAAAAGAAGAAGAAAGATAAACGGAAGATGGAGCAAGAGATGGATAACGAAGAGGAGAAAACAAATGGCGCAAATGAGGATGACGGAACAGCCAAGAAGAAGAAAAAGAAGAGTAAAGATGAAGTAGCTACAGATGAAACTAAAAAGAAGAAGAAGAAGCCCCAAGAGTGAAATATAATCTCAATTTGGTGAAATTCATGTATTGAAATGCCAATAGTGTTTTATTTTGAAAATTCTATTAACTTCTAGGTTTTGGCCGACGTTTCTGGTTGAATCTGAATATGGTAGTTGGAAGTCTTTGATTTTGGAAATAGTTTTTCAGACAATGAATGGTATTTGGGTTGGGACTCGTTCAAAGTTTGGCACAAATTTTGTAGAACCCTTATCCATATGATTATATATTTGTCATTGACGGCCAAAACCGAAGCCTCCATTCACATGTTTAGAACACACACAAAACACGTATTTTGAGCTAAAGAACTAATAATAAACGAATCAATCAGTTATCCATCTTTTCCTTTCCTTGGCAGTCGAATTGTTTAAAAATCATTTCAAACGAATTGCAGATAAATTTTAGATGGAAGAGACAATCAAATTCAAGGTTGCTCGAAGGGTAAAAGATAGATGTTCAAATGATTGAAAAATAGTGGAGAGCTTTCCGTTGGGAAAAAAAATATATTGTTGGATGACAAGTAGGGGACATAAGGACGGTGACCATCAAGATAATATTAGGTGGTGGTTGTATCAATGACAAAATACATATGGTTAAATATTCATTTGAATCAAATATCAGTTATCTCAAATTTAATATTTTTGATGATTTAAATCTAAAAAAACATTTAATTATAAGATGTTTGTGAATTTATCGGAATAAAACAATTATGTTAGCATTATTAATTAATTCGAAATCTATAAACTTTTTTTTTTCATTTTAACTACAAAGGAAACTAACTAATCCAAGTTATCGAGTTCAGATCCCGTAGATTTGATTAATGCAGATATTTAATTCAATTTTTGATAATTGTAGATATCAAAATTGAAGATTTTATAGTAAATTTAAAAGTAAACAGTGAATAGGACCAATTAGGCGAACAATTAAATAGTTAACAGTTTAAATTATGTCAAAGTCAATGATGGCAACAATCAACGCACACTTTTATTTGGATTAAAATTTTAAATCTAAAAAAAATCATTAATTAAATTAATATATAATTTTACGTAATATATATATTTTATAAAAGTCGGAAGCATACTTCCCCGAAAAGGACAATCAGAAAAGTTCAAACATTTAGCGCTTCCAATAATTGTCGTTAGCGTAATTACAATAATTGCATGTTTAATTTAAAGAAACAAATCGTCGCCAAAGCCAAATTCGAGACGTTACTTAATAAAATTCAACATTTTGAGTTTCCAACCAGCTTTGAATCTCCATTTCCATGGCGGAGAGAAATCACAGCCGTCAAATGGATCCAAAGACCGGATTCTGTTACAAGACCAGAACTTACAGTAGCCTGAGACCGCCAATCCCTCTTCCGCCACCTGATCAACCTATCTCCGCCGCGGAATACTGTCTCTCCATCTTCTCTTCCACTTCCACCGACGGCGCTGTTCCAGTGCACGGCAGGGATGCTGACAAACTGCAATATCAGGTAATGGTCAAATCATTAGTACTAAAATAATACGTAAAGAGAATGGAGTCGAACAGAAGTTACTCTATTTCAATGTGGATACATTCCTTTAAAATGTCCGAGACTAGCCAGGTCATCAAGTAATCATCAGCTGACTCTGAGCGCATGTGTGTTTCTCCCGTCTTCGCAGGGTTACGGTACACTTCTGATGGAAGAAGCTGAACGGATAGCCAGCAAAGAGCATAGGTCGACAAAAATAGCTGTTATATCTGGTGTAGGAACCCGGCATTATTATAGGAAATTAGGGTATGAGCTTGAAGGCCCTTACATGGTCAAATGTATAGTCTGATAAGGCTAGTTTCGATTTAAAAAATAGCGTAAAATTCTAGCAACACATAAATCATAATTTTTGTTCAATTTGTTTGCCTGCATGAACCCGTATTTGTATACCCTCCTTTAAATATTTTCAGAAGATCATGGAGATTTATACATTTTCTTGATAGAATATTTATTATGACAAAAGGTGGAGTGTTGGAGAATTTCTACCGATAAGTAAGTTCGAGTTGAACATGTAATTACTTCGATCGAAAGTTTTTGGAGTATCTTAAAGTTAGAAAGATAAATCAATATAAACATGGATTTCTCGACCGAGCAATAATTTTAGTGATTACAGATAATTCAAGTATACAAAGTAAATGATTAAATTCTTAAAATGATAAACATGCATCACAGGCATTTATATTTTTCTTCAATGTCTATTAAATGTATGATGTAGTCATTATGTTTTCAGGGCAAAATACAGAGAGATCAGTCAATTATATGATTGATAACAAACGAGTCATTTTTTCCCTAAACATTATAATTTAGTCGCTCGCTATTATTATAGGTCACTTATTGTTAAACATTAAACGGAATGTTGTGTCAGGTATAATAATAATTTTATTCTTTAAAATTTATATATTTTATTAATTTGAAATAATTTAATAAATATAATTCTTTATATTTAAAAATTTAAAATTATCATCTTAATTTTTGTTTTCTCCTTAAATTTTTTGTTCTCTAAAAAAATGTTATATTAATTTCTTATAATTTTTTTGGTATAATAACATTTTAACGTTAATTTATCAATATTTTATGATATTCAATTATTATTTTGATTTAATGGACTATTTTGGTTTGATAATATCCTTCTTCATAGAATTTCTATATAAAGGATTATATTTATTAAATCGTTTATGATTAGAACAAGATTTATAAAAATATATAAATTTTAAGACAAATTATTATTGTACCAACTTATAGGTAAATATATAATTATCATTTAGGAGATATACCTTAAGAATATTCTATATTAATATAGAAAGAGTAGATGTCTATGTATATTCATAAAATAATCTATATATTTGTATTATTTAATATTATGTGTAGAATTATAAGCTGATTTGTGAAGGGTAGAAATATTGAAGGTAATACTCTTTTGGCACAGGAGCTTGTTAGGGGGTATGGTAGAAATTTTATTTCCCCTAGATGTGCCATTAAAGCTGATTTGCAGAAAGCTTTTGATTCTATAAGCTGGAAATTTTTGCTTGCTGTTCTGAAGGGGTTAGGGTTGCCAAAGCAGTTTATAAGTTGGATAGTGGCTTGTGTTATGGACTCTAGATTCTCTATTGTGCTGAATGGAAGCCTTGTGGGGTTCTTCAGAGGTGGTAGAGGAGTTAGGCAGGGAGATCATCTGTCCCCCTACCTATTTGTGATAGCCATGAACATTCTTTCCAAGTTGCTTGACATTGCTGCCTCTGATAAGATTTTTCAATTTCATCCTAAGTGCAGAAAGGTGAACCTAACTCACTTATGTTTTGTTGATGATCTACTTATCTTTTGCAAAGGTAGTTTAGATTCAATTGTTGGGGTGAAATGTGTTTTGGAGAGGTTCTATGAGATATCTGGACTGAGGCTTAATGCTTCCAAAACTGAAATTTTTATTGCTGGTGTCAATGGTAATCAAAAGGCTTCGGTGCATGAGGTTACTGGATTCAAAATTGGTTGCCTCCCTGTGAGATATTTAGGAGTACCTCTTGTCTCCAGGAAATTAACTGAGAAGGATTGTGTTAATCTGGTGGAGAAAATTAAAGCTAAGCTTGGACTTTGGTCCAATAGATGGCTGAGTTATGCTGGCAGATTACAACTGGTGAAAGTTGTTATGTTCAATATTGCCAATTTTTGGTGCAGGCAACTTATTCTCCCTACTGCTGTGGTTAAAAGAGTGGACCAGCTTTGTGCTAGGTTCTTTTGGAAGGGAGGTGATGTTCCAGCTAAGGGGGCTCGGGTGAGTTGGGAGGTAATCTGCACCCCTAAATCAGAGGGGGGCTGGGCCTTAAGAATTTGAAATGTTGGAACAAGGCTTGTATAATGCTGCTGGTTAAGGAGATTCTTGTTGTTGAGGGCTCTCTTTGGGTTGCTTGGGTGAGGACATATGTTCTTAAAGGGGCTGATTTTTGGTCTATGGAGTGCAAAGCCTCGTTCAGCTGGAGCATGAGGAAAATTTTGAAAGCCAGGGAGGAAGTATATCCTCTGTTTGTAGGAATCACGGATTGGGACAAGGTCAATGCTCGATGGCTGTGGCAGGGGCTTAGGGGGAGGAAGGAGAAGGTTGGGTGGCAGAAGATTATATGGTTCCCCATGCATATACCCAAGCACTCCCTCATTGCTTGGATGGCGGTCCTTGATAGGTTGCCTACTGCTGATAGGTTGATTCGGTTGAGGATTGAGATGAATGATAAGTGCAGATTGTGTGATGTTGTGTGTGAGACTCGCAGCCATATCTTTTTTGAATGCCCCTTTTCAAAGGCTGTTTGGGAAGGGATTATGCGGCTGTGTAGTTGATAGAACTGTGGGAAATTGGGAGGAGGAACTGGACTGGGCGATATCTCGGTTCAGAGGTAAGACTCTTCATTCGTTTATTCTTAGATTAGCCTAGTGTGCATATATATATTGTATATGGGAATAGAGGAATCATAGGCAGTTTAGGAGCATTCATAGGGAGATTGATGATGTGATCTATTGCATTAAGGATGTAATTAGGATAAAAGCTACTAGAATAGCTATTAAGAATAATGTTGTTAATTGTAATCTTTGTCTAGCTTGGGGGATTAGCACTCCCTAGGAGGCTGTTTCTGGTTTGGCTGTCTGTTTTTGGCTGTAGCAGTGAGTTTCTACTGCTTCTTGGATAATATAAGAGAGAGAAATTTATCCAAAAAAAATGTATGATATAGTCATTATGTTTTCAGGGCAAAATACAGAGAGATCAGTCAATTATATGATTGATAACAAACGAGTCACTTTTTTTTCCTAAACATTATAATTTAGTCACTCGCTATTATTATAGGTCACTTATTGTTAAATATTAAACGGAATGTTGTGTCAGGTATAATAATAATTTTATTCTTTAAAATTTATATATTTATATATTTTATTAATTTGATTTTAATCTGAAATAATTTAATAAATATAATTATTTATATTTAAAAATTTAAAATTATCATCTTAATCTTTGTTTTCTTCTTAAATTTTTTGTTCTCTAAAAAAATGTTATATTAATTTCTTATAATATTTTTGGTATAATAACATTTTAACGTTAATTTATCAATATTTTATGATATTCAATTATTATTATAATTAAATGGACTATTTTGGTTTGATAATATCCTTAAATAGAATATTTATTATGACAAAAGGTGGAGTGTTGGAGAATTTCTACCGATAAGTAAGTTCGAGTCGAACATGTAATTACTTCGATCGAAAGTTTTTGGAGTATCTTAAAGTTAGAAAGATAAATCAATATAAACATGGATTTCTCGACCGAGCAATAATTTTAGTGATTACAGATAATTCAAGTATACAAAGTAAATGATTAAATTCTTAAAATGATAAATATGCATCACAGGCATTTATATTTTTCTTCAATGTCTATTAAATGTATGATGTAGTCATTATGTTTTCAGGGCAAAATACAGAGAGATCAGTCAATTATATGATTGATAACAAACGAGTCACTTTTTTTCCTAAACATTATAATTTAGTCACTCGCTATTATTATAGGTCACTTATTATTAAATATTAAACGGAATGTTGTGTCAGGTATAATAATAATTTTATTCTTTAAAATTTATATATTTTATTAATTTGATTTTAATTCAAAATAATTTAATAAACATAACTCTTTATATTTAAAAATTTAAAATTATCATCTTAATTTTTGTTTTCTCCTTAAATTTTTTGTTCTCTAAAAAAATGTTATATTAATTTCTTATAATTTTTTTGGTATAATAACATTTTAACGTTAATTTATCAATATTTTATGATATTCAATTATTATTTTGATTTAATGGACTATTTTGGTTTGATAATATCCTTCTTGATAGAATTTCTATATAAAGGATTATATTTATTAAATCGTTTATGATTAGAACAAGATTTATAAAAATATATAAATTTTAAGACAAATTATTATTGTACCAACTTATAGGTAAATATATAATTATCATTTAGGAGATATACCTTAAGAATATTCTATATTAATATAGAAAGAGTAGATGTCTATGTATATTCATAAAATAATCTATATATTTGTATTATTTAATATTATGTGTAGAATTATTTATTAGAAGAATCTATATATTTATAATGTTAAATGACTAAGATGTTAACATGGGTCAACAATCCAATGACCACTGAAATCTATAAACATGGGTGAGTTTTATCATTGCAGAAAAAGTGAAAAAAAGAGAAAAAACTGTACATAGACTAGTTTTTTACTCCCTCTTTTTTAAGGCCAAAGTACCAAAATTATAATTAAGATTCTATTTTTGTTAAATTAATTTGTTCCCCTTCAAATTTTTTAGAAATTCATATTAAACTTTAAATTTTTTTAATGTTCTTAATTAAACATCCCAAACTTTACCACCAAGTTTCGCCACTGGAAAAACTGGACGAAGTTACTGATAAAGTCGAGCACGGATTAATTTTAAGAAACCATCAATTGGGAGATTTATTGTTCACCCAATTTCAGAGATTGCAAAGGCAGAGATACACTAAATTCAAGAAATTTAAGAAATTGAAGTAGGACAAAGGCTGATTTTGTGAATATTTATTGAACTTGATTATTTATTGAACTTTATTATTTGTGAATATTTTGTATACTTTCACCAAAGAATCTATCTTTCTTTCATTCTGATCCTACTAATTGCAGAATTGGTAATGTCTGCCCCCCTTTTTCTTTTCTTTTCATTTTTTCACTTTTTGTTCCCTAAGTTTTTCAAGAGTTCTAGATTATCTATACAAGAGCCGCCCCGAGCCACCACACTTGTCATGACACGGGCACTCGTTAACATTGTCGTCGGAGGGATGCATATTGGTGTGGGCGCTATGGCTCTTGGAGGCATATCTGTTCCTAAAATACATTCGATACATTTGGCACACTTACTCTACTTTCGCAACAGTCCATATTAGAGCTTTTTTTTCT